CCCCCGCCCAGCTACAGAGATTTTCATGCAGACAGATTCAAACCCAGGTCCCCTGCATTGCGTGCACACGTGCCCTTTCTCTCGTTCTGCCACTTTTTATTTCCAGTTTCCTTTTGTTCTCCCCTCTTTAGTCCATCCGTGGAAGCCCTCTCCTCCTGACACGCTCCCTGCTGAAATCTCCAGGTTGTAACACCACAACCCTGGATGCCTTCCCAGTGGCCTCATTGATAAAGAGAGGATTTGGAGCGATAGTGAGAATGCCCATCCCTAACGTTCCCCTTTCCCATCCCATCTCCCCAAATCCCCCCTTGCCTGCCCCACGTACCCGCCCACCCACACTTGCCCTTCACCCCCTAACCCCACCTCCCACTCACCCCCTTTCCCGGATTGAGCTGCTTTCGGGACAGGACTCCTTAGTCCCTACACTTAAAAGCAACAACTTCCCTCCCAGATCCGGCCTCCGGGCTGGGAGGGGAGAACAGCAGACTCGATGGCAGCACCATCGGCTCCGAGCCATGCCAACGTATGGACTTGGAGAACAACATTAATGCTCGAAGAGACCACCAGCCAGAGCGGAGGGAGAAGGGGAAGGCAGTGCATGTTCTCTGGGGCTTTGGTTGCTGCTTGCCGAGCCATGCCCGTTGCCCTTTTGTTCGCTAACCACCACCTGGAACAGTACTTGTTCTGGCAGAAGAGTCCCACGGGGCAGTAACTATTGCTCCAAGACGGCAGCCACATGCATTGGTCCAGATGGGCAAAAAGAGATGCTGTGACAGCTGATGATGAACATGGCTCTGTTTTGACCTCCGAAATCTGGGGACAACCCAAACACTTTCTCACCAAGGGAAGCTGGTCTTTTCAGCTTACTTTATACCTCTGAAGATTTGGCAGCCAATAATTCAACTTTGTCCACTAAACATTTGCCTGACAACCAGAATGTTGCAGGTGCCCCGCTGGGGATTTGGAAATAGAAATTTCAATAGCACTTGGTCCCTGCTCTCCAGTTCAGAGGGGTAGAGAGATGTCCACCATAGCCCAGTGGGGGGAATGTCAAAGCAAGGATGCACACTCGATGCCACACCTCCCAGATGTCACTAAAAGATCACGAAGTCTTCAGGCCAGTGTTCTCGTCAGTGGCAATAGGCAGGCAATCACTCACAGCAAACGTTTGCCCGTTGCAATGGCTCACTTCCAAAATCTGCCAGGTTTTCTTGTATGTAATGGGCACCCTTACTTTTCAGGGTCGTGAGTTTCCTTTATCCGATGCATGCCCCCTTTCTACTGTTAATTTCAAATCCTCCCAAGTCAACAGCCAGACCCAGTGGAATGTAACGGCCAC